ATCATCATCATCATCATCGTCCTCGTCCTTGTCCTCGTCATCGTCATCGTCCTCGTCATCGTCATCGTCATCGTCGTCATCATCATCATCATCATCATCATCATCATCATCGTTATTCACTTACATTTCATCATTATTGGCAATTGTTGGCATTATCACGAAAGGTAGCGTCAGCTCGCTAGAGTCTTCTTGCTTTAGCAAGTATTCCGGGGCTCCCCAAGGACATCACGTGATTTTTCACGCGAAAGGGCCCCCCCTGCCCCCTCCCCCATATATATCATTGTTATATATCATATATCATATATCATTGTTGCATCCTCGTTGGGACGAACAATGCCGCGACACGATGACGACAGTCCCTCCGCAACTCACCTCTTCCCTTCCTTCTTTCTCCTACCCCGCTAGCTTTCGTCATCCACCCCCGGCCTCAAGTTTAATGGTAAGTAATTTTCGTAAGGCAATGATAAGCCACCCAACCGCCCAACATTACTTTGATTTAGACACGAGGAGGAAATTGGACACTTCGACCTCGGCACAGCGGCTGCCGTTCAACGCCGTCTGCTGTTGACCGCAGAGGGTATCGCACTTCGAAGGCTGTGCTTTGAAGTTGATGCTTTTCAGGCAGGGATTGCGGATGGCCTAGGTAATGGCTACCCAAGAATCAAGCTCCAGTTTTTGGAGGGTTTATATCAACCATATCCGGTCATATTATGAACGGTTCATTATTGGGTAAAGTATGAGTCCACATTTTGAAGGCGGCCAGTCATCTGATCCAGAGGGCCAGGCTAAGTACGGTCATGTAATGTCAACCTCAGATTGATCACCTCCTGTGAAATGGGGGGCACGATTTTAGTGATCATCACTGTTTGGGGTATACCGGTATACCCCTGATTATATAATCAACCAGGGTTTTGCTTTCCCAGCAGCAGAAAGCTGTTGGGCTTCAATCTCTAGAAGCAAGGGGTGGTATCATGACTTCCCCCTCCTCGCCCCTTGGGACGTCAGGCTTGTCTCCCAGCCGTCTCCCACTCCCACTATGTCTTCCACTGGAACCTTGGAACCTTGTTTCCCTGCTGTCTTCTCTCAATTGTCCCCCAAGTGTCTCCCTATTGTTTCTCTATTGTCTCCCAACTGTGTTCAATTGTCTCCCACTTGTCTCCACTTGTCTCCCATCTGTCTCCCAATTGTATCCCATTGTGTTTCTATTGTCTCCCCATTACCCATTGTTCCCCTGTTGTCCAAGTCTCTCCCACTCGTCTCCCTTTCCATTGTCTCCCGATTGTGTTTCAATTGTCTCCCACTTGGCTCCCACTTGTCTCTCACTTGTATCCCAGTTCCCAACAGCAGAAAGCTGTTTGGTTTCAATTTCTAGAAGGAGGAAGGTGGCATCGCGACTTCTCCCCTCTTCCCCATGCATGCACAGGGTTCTGGGAACCTTGGAACCTTGTCTCCTGCTTTGTCTCCCAGCTTGTGTCCCCCCAAATCTCTGCCACTATGTCACCCACTTTGTCTTTCACCTTGTCTCCCACTTTGTCTCTCACACTTTGCCTCCCACTTTGCCTCCCACTTTGTCTCCCACTTCGTTTCTCACTTTTCTCCCACCTTGTCTCCCACCTTGTTTCCACTTTGTCTCCCACTTTTGTCTACAACTTTGTTGCCCAGCTTGTTTTCCACTTTGTCTCCCGCTTTGTTTCCCAGTTTGTCTCTTGCTTTGTCTCCTATATTGCCTCCCACCTTGTCTCCCTCTTTGTCTCATAGCCTGTCTCCTACTTTGTGTCTTCCACTATGTCTCCCACTTTCTCACTTGTTTCCCACTTTGTCTCCTAATGTTTCGCCTTTTGTCCCCCACTGTGTCTCTCACTGTCTTTGGGTCCCACAGTATCTCAGTATGTCCCAGTGCGTCTCCGGCTTTGTCCCCACTTTGCCTCCAGCTCGTGTCACACTTTGTCCCCCATCTCGTCTCCCACTGTGTCTCCTACTTTGTCTCGCACCCGTTCTCCCACTTTGTCTGCCAACTTGTCTCCCGCTTTGTCTCCCAGCTTGTCTTCCGCTTTGTCTCGCGCTTTGTCCCCCGCTTGTTTCCCGCAGTGTCCCACTTTGTCTCTCTTTGTTCAAACTTGGTCCACCGCTTTGTGCCCCACCTTGTCTCCCACTGTGTCGCCGACTCCTTGTCTCCCGCTGTGTCGCCGACTTCGTTCCGGGAACCTTCTCGCCTCGAATTTGGAATCCTCATTGCTGTTTGGTTACAAAGCTGGGTTAAATACTCTTTCGAGTCCCACTCTATCTGGAACCTGGCCCCCGAAAGCAACACCTATCCTGGTCCTTGTTTCTGCAAGAAAACATGAAAAAAGCAGGTGTAAATGGTGCGACAGCCTGACGCAAAAAAAAAAACAAACTCTTTAGATCGGCATTAGTAAAATCCCTAGCTTTGATCATAACGTACCTGTTGTTGATGGTTGAATCCCTGCTTTTGATGGTCAAATCCCGATTGTTGAAGGTTAAATCCCAATTTTTGATGCTTAAATCCAACTTTTCGATGGTTAAGTCAACATTTTTCATGGTTGATGGTTAAATATCCCAGTTTTTGATGGCAAAAACCACGATTTTTTGATGGAGACATCCCATCTGACGGTCTTGCGGCCAGGCCTGTCGAGGATTCCTGACATGTAAAGACGCCGCCCCGCTGCGGGAGGCGGCCATGAGCACCCTGGCGAGGGGTGGTATCCAGAAGAATTCGGGACGTTCCAGTAGTATATAGTAATAGTAACAATATGGTAATAATACTGATCAATAAGAATAACTTTAACAATGATGGTAATAATAGTAATGGTACGGGCAAACCCCCCAAGTTTGCCCGCGCCTACGTCGACGACGTCCTCGAAGATAAAAAACATTGTGTTTCGTGGGGCAAAATGCACATGTCTGTGATCTTGGCTTTCATCTTGCAACGCACAGCTCAGGCTACCTGTGCGTTGAATGTTACATCATCACCATCAACAACAACAACAGCAACAGCAACAGCAACAGCAACAACAGCAACAACAAGAACAACAAGAACAACAACAACAGCAACAACAACAACAACAAGAACAACAAGAACAACAAGAACAACAAGAACAACAAGAACAACAAGAACAACAAGAACAACAAGAACAACAAGAACAACAAGAACAACAAAAAACAAGAACAACAAAAAACAAGAACAACAAAAAACAAGAACAACAAAAAACAAGAACAACAAAAAACAAGAACAACAAAAAACAAGAACAAGAACAAAAACAATAACAACAAGAAGAACAACAATAACAACAAGAAGAGCAACAAGAACAACAAGAAGAACGAGAAGAACGAGAAGAACAAGAAGAACAAGAAGAACAAGAAGAACAAGAAGAAGAAGAACAACAACAACATCATCAACCCTAAACCCTAAACCCTAAAACTTAAAACCCTAAAATCCAAAATCCTAAACCCCTTGAAAATTCCCTCGAACATAAAGTTTAACTGGGGTCGGGACTTGATGATTTCCTAGAAACTCTGTTGAAACATGTTGAACATTCACTTTGAATGTAAAGTTTAACGGGGGTGGGGATTTTATGATTCCCTAGAAACTCTGTTGAAACATGATGAATAGTCCCTTTGAATGTATATATATATATAAAGTTTAACATTCCCCTCAATATCCCCTCAACAGTCGTGTGGGCGAACTGGGAGGTTTGCGCGTAATAGTAAGTATAGTAGTAATATTGATTCAATAGTAATAAATATCAATAAGATTCAAGAATAATAACAAGACTAACAGTAATGATAATGGGGCTGTTGAGCAAAACAACGGACTTTTGTTCAAGCAATACTGTGCAAAAAAAATGCTGTGATTTTTGGGTACGATAATGGTGAATTTCCCGCAAAAATCAGTTACAACAGGAATCCCATTTTTCTGGCAGAGATGGTTTTTTATCAGCAAAATGCTGGTATAAGATGACTGCATAAACCTTATATAACCAGCAAACGTAGCCCATCCAGGGTTGGTCCGCATCCGTCCCTCCAAGGTTCGCTGGCAGAAGCCTGGGCGACGCGGCGCCGGCGCCAGGGAGGTGGATTGGTGGTTGGGATGGAGTCGGATGGAGCTAAGAAACTCTGGGTATCCCTATTCATGGGGGCAAAACAATGCCATAAACCACCCATGACTGGGAATTGTTTATTTAATTCATACCATACCACCTATTTATGATGAAATTGGGGATCGTTTATTATTGTTTTACCAACATTATCAGTATTTAGGGGGAAAAAAGGAGCTACGAAAAGTTTCCCCACACGATATATATATATATATATGTATGTATACATGTTTACCCCATGGATATCTCACACACATGTGGAGGAATATTTTCGGTTTGTTACTCCAGGGATCAATATGTTGATATCAATTTTACTGGTTGGTGGTTCGAGATATGTTGATTTTTCCATCCTGGGATGGTGATCCCAACTGACGATTTTTTCAGGCCGTCGCTTTGACCACGCCCGAAACGGCGAAACAGTGACTATTTCTTCAGGGGGTGAAACCACCAACCTATTTACCCAGAGTATTTCAATACTAAGTTTTTCCCCACCTGCCAGGTGAGGGTTGTTAGATTTTATGTCAGTTGCCTCCTCCTCCTGCCGCCTCCTGCCTCGTCCTGCCGCCTGCCTCCTCCTCGTCCTCCTTGTCGTCGTCGTCCTCGTCGTCCTCGTCGTCCTCGTCGTCCTCGTCGTCGTCCTCGTCGTCCTCGACCTCCACGACCAGTGTTCCCTGCCGGACCTCAACCACGACCATCCACGCCCAGTGTTCCCTGCCGGACCTCAACCACGACCATCCACGCCCAGTGTTCCCTGCCGGACCTCAACCACGACCATCCACGCCCAGTGTTCCCTGCCGGACCTCAACCGCGACCATCCACGCCCAGTGTTCCCTGCCGGACCTCAACTGCGAGTATCCACGCCAAGTGTTCCCTGCCGGACCTCATGTAGGAATGTCAGATAGACTGCCAGATAGAATGCCAGATAGAATGTCAGATAGGATGCCAGATAGAATGCCAGAAAGAATGCCAGAAAGAATGCCAGATAGAATGCCAGATAGAATGTCAGATAGGATGCCAGATAGAATGCCAGATAGAATGCCAGAAAGAATGCCAGAAAGAATGCCAGATAGAATGCCAGATAGACTGCCAGATAGAATGTCAGATAGAATGTCAGAATATATGTCAGATATAATGCCAGATAGAATGCCAACATATATGCCAGAATATATGTCAGATAGAATGCCAAAATATATGTCAGATATAATGCCAGATAGAATGCCAGAATATATGCCAGAATATATGTCAGATAGAATGCCAGAATATATGTCAGAATAAATGACAGGTAGAATGCCAGAATATATGTCAGATGAAATGTCAGAAAATATGTCAGATAGAATGCCAGATAGACTGCCAGATAGAATGCCAGGTGGAATGTCAGGATATATGCCAGATAGAATGCCAGAATATATTTCAGATAGGATGTCAGAATATACTAAATATATGTCCAAATATACGTCCTGACATGTCATGGTGGGGATCACACGAAGTAGAGTAATTTTTTGAGGCACCCAGACGTTCAGCTTAAAGATTTCCATCTTTTCCCACATTTGGTTCATCTTCTCCAAGGGGTTTCCAACTTTTCTCCCAAGTTTTTTGCAATTTCCCATGGGATCTTCAGGGATCCGCCGGGTCACTGGTGAGGCCTCGGAGCCCGGGGGTCGCCTGACAGCTTCGGGCCAAGGGCTGCTGCAGCTGCCAGGATTGGGGAAACTTGACTTTGGCGACATATGGTGACATACATAGCTCCAACTGGCTCCAACCCATTTTTGGCACATCTGAACATGGTGACATAAGCAGATCGCGTCGCAGGGGCTGGGGCATGTGGCGGCCGACTGAGCCTGTGAGTTTGCCTCCATCAATGCAAGACCACGCCCGAAGGGCCTGGCGCATTGTGGCCAGGTGGGTCTGGTGGTACTAGGGCCTAGGGCTTGGGGGGGCAGGTGTCCATGGTTCCGGACATATATCAGTCCACCTTTCTACCCGGAAATCAACCAACCAACCAACCACCCAACCAGCCACCCAACCAGCCACCCAACCAGCCACCCAACCAGCCACCCAACCAGCAACCCAACCAGCAACCCAACCAGCCACCCAACCAGCCACCCAACCAGCCACCCAACCAGCAACCCAACCAGCCACCCAACCAGCCACCCAACACAGAACAGCCACCAGCCAACCCAGCCCACCCGCCAGAAACACGACCAGCCACACACCCAGCCACCCAGCCAACCCAGCCCCACCCAGCCACCCAGCACCCAGCCCACCCAGCCACCCAGCCACCCACACCCAGCCACCAAGCCACCCAGCCACCCAGCCACCCAGCCACCAGCCAGCCACCAGCAGCACCCAGCCACCCAGCCACCCAGCCACCCAGCCACCCAGCCACCCAGCCCAAGCCAACCAGCCAACCAGCCAACCAGCCAACCAGCCAACCAGCCAACCAGCCAACCAGCCAACCAGCCAACCAGCCAACCAGCCAACCAGCCAACCAGCCACACACCAACACCAACACCAACACCAACACCAACACCAACACCCACACCAACACCCACACCCACACCCACACCCACACCCACACCACCACCACCACCACCACCACCAGCACCACCAGCGAGAATTATCACCCCAGAAGAGTAGATAATTGCAACTGAGAATGTGGACAACTCTGCTTGACAACTCACGCCCTTTTTGTCTCACTGTGCTAGCAGAATTTACGCCTCCTAATCTTGAGCCAACATGTTGTTGGCGGAATGCTGATCTCATTGATCAAAGGAAGCACGATGCGGCTGAGCATGTTCACAATGCTGTGGCAACAGGGAGAGCTGAAAGCTTGGTTGCGGTCAAATTCTCTAATTGTTTCCAAACTCACATTCGGTTCAGACGTCATGTCTGCTTACTCTAGTTCGGAAAAAAAAACTCTTGCAAATTTGCACGGCTCTCAAATTGGAAATGTGATCAAAAGCGGTTCAAAAACTTCGATCTCACAGATTGCTTGGACCCAGGAAACGCAAGACAATAGGAGATCATCAGGATGTTCAAAAAGTCTCAACCGTGGAAACGTCGCAAAACGATTTCTGAGAAGCTTCAAACTCATAAGCTGTACCGCAGCTGATTATAAATTCCTCTTTCGCACGTCTAAATGTTTCTCCAAAATTGAAATCACTGTGTGAATTCCGCGTTCGAAATCTCAATGCTCTGTCAAAGATTGAAATCACTGTTCCGCGTTCGAAATCTGAACGCGCTGTCAGGAAAGTTGGAAATCAAGCTCTAAACTGCATACGACTTGCTCAAATCGCACAAAACGTGTCACATGCTATGCAGCAAAAGACACTTTCACAAATCTCTGAAATCACTTGAAAAATTCGGAGAAAATTATTCCAAGCTGGCAATGCAAGCTGAATGGCATAGGATGAGTTTACAGCATCATCAAGCAAGTTCAGCTTACTGTCTTGGAGGAGGTTGTAAAGAGTTTTGAGGTGTTCGGAGGAGCGCTCAAAGGGATTGATGGCACGCTGAAAACAAGCAAATCTCTAGATCCAAGTGTCATACTTAGATGGCTGTCGCTTTGCTCACGCACGTGGGTATGATTTGATATAGTATCACGTGAAGTCAAATAGACTTGAAGACTTTGCTAAAAGCAAGTTTGTTTCGATGTTTTGTTGGGGCAACATTTGCTTGTAGCTTGTAGCAAGTGATTAGTGATTGGCTGAGAGTCCGCCAGCGACCAAACAATGAATACGCATCGAAAGAGGTGTATGACATTCGCACCCCCTTTCGCTGGCTGAATCTCAATTGCATGGCCCATCGGCTCATCATCTCACTGAAAATCGCACGTCCAGGCCTGATCGGGCTCTGGCAGCTAGCTTGGCATCTCTGTTTTTTTTTTTTGGAGCTTATCCCAGGCAGGAAAGAATGGAGAAAACAACGACGGTTCAAACTGGGTTCTCAAGCAGTTTCTTCATGGAATATCGGATTTCTGTCATGCCAGGCTCGAAAAACCGGTATGCTGGGAGTGTGGACTTGGCCATGTCCTTGCCAATGTAAACATCTCGATAGGCCTGAGCGATGATGCTACACATCGAAGCAGGATAATGGCTTACTTTGTCCCAATTGACTGCATTGAATGCAACGTGACTTTCACAATTGCACTCTGTGTGATTTGCCAACGATCTGGCTAAACTTGGATGGGTTCCCAACCACAAGAAAATCTTTCCAACCTTAGGATCTGTTTCAGGAAAACTGCAAAGCCGAGGGAACTGTGCATAGATATGGCGACCTACTTTCACAAAGAAATCTGCCATGAACTTACTGTTCCAATACCTATTTCTCTTGGGTAGCTCGAAAGTGAACTCATCTGCTGCAACGGCGAGGCTTTGGCTCAGTTTCAAAATTTGTTCCAACTCAGAAACTTGCGTTGATTCAGTGGGCTCGGCATCTGCTGGGATATATTCAGTCGTGTCTGAATTTCCTGAAGGCTGAAGGGAGAAATGCACATAAACAGGCTTACCTTTCTTTGAAAATCGCTGCGCAAGATCACTGAGCTGGGCATGAAACATTGTTAAATCTGCCCTTGTGGAAACTCGGACGACTGCCATTTGAATGTCTCCACAAAAACTGGCTTGAATCGACTCGGTTAAATTGCTGTTCACACCGCAACATATTTCCAAGAAGATCCCTGAAAACTTACTAGGCGACAATTCTGGTAAATTGGCTTCTTGTGTTTCTAAGATCAAGCTCAATGGTTGTGAAGCAAACTGTGATGGATCTGATTTCTGGGCGTCTGGCACAAAGACTGTGGAAGCAAGCACGTGCTCTTCATCTTGGGAGTTCGACTCCAAAGACTGAACATTCACTGACTCCGGCCTACCCCCATACAAAATGCTTTGGATTTGATTCGTCTTTCCTTTCTTCTTTTTGGCTGTCTGCTTTGTTTGGGATTCAGATTGTTGGTCTGCCAGTTTGGCTGGAAGTTCTGCTGATTCAATGAATCCCATTGATGTCCTGAATTTCAAAAACAGCTTCATTCCTAAACACTTGGTCAAAATATCTGCAATTTGCTGTGAACCCTCGACCCATGTGAGAATGATGGTTCTTCTTCGGACCATCTCTTGGCAGAAACAAATTCTCAACTCAACATGGCGACTGCGTCTTTGGAGCCCTGGTGAGGTCAGGACTCGGATGGCTGCTTGGGAATCACAACGGACTTCCACCTCAATGGCTGTGGCATGTTCAAGGTCTTCATCAACTAATCCAAAAATCAGGGAGTCTGCAAGACTGTGTATTCGATCTGAAGCTTGAAAACTTTCATGGATGTTGGTCACATGCGCGTGAGTTTCTAGAAAAAGATGCTCAGAGATACGCTTGATTCCCATGCTCTCTTGAAAGGATTCAGCTAATGCTGACAGTTCTGACTCGCAACTTGAAAGTGCGACCACTTGTTGCAATCTTGTGAAAGCTTTGATGATGGACCCGCGATAAAAAACACACGCGCCAGAAATTGATCTACGCTTGAGAAAGCGCATTGGGGCCCAGCTGGCATCACAGTAGATTACCAAGCGTTGCGCTTCTTGTTCCTCGATGGTTGCTTCGGGAGATGGGAATCTCTGGTAAATGCCTCTTTGGCTTTTCATGAATTTCAACACTGATCTCAAAGCCTTTTCATGGCGATCTTGCGGTGTGGCCATGCCTGTGGCTAGCAAAGCTATGTATACATTGATGAAAACATATGTTTGGGACATCCAGGACAGTTTGCCTAAGGCTGCTCTGTACCGCATGGCCGCATCTGGGGATAATTCATCAGACTTGGAACTGTCTTCAAGTACCGGTCGAAGATCTGGAGGATTTGTACTGGCAGTGCTGATGCTGTAGGCCTCAAACATACCATCTAAATAGTTTTCATCCAGACTGATGGTAATCTCTTTGCTGTTGGATTTTCTTTCGATGTTGCGGCCAAGAAAACGCAAACTGCCACCCCCTTCAAAACTTCGCTCTATAAGCCCCGTGCGTTTTACTTTAGGTGTAGGGCCAAATGGTCTTGAACGGCAACTGCAAATACCTTACTCGGGGCAAACACGAGCAGATCATCAACGTATGCAACTACTTGCACCCATGCCTTTCCATGCCCTTTGACTGAAACCTCTCCAGAAAAAAACAGTTGTTTCAATCAAAGACGGTTTGATTCCTAACTCTTGCAGCAAGTGGCTTAAGTGCTCTACCCAAGCCAAACCGCTTGTTCTCAAGCCATTTATGGCCTTGAATGCTTCAAGGAATATCGGGCTACCATCTGGAAACTGCATAGTATTTGGTGGCATCTTCAGAATGACTTTGATGGGTTTGCCAAGACGCCGGCCTAGAGGAGAAGCCATGAATGCAGCACTGATGTCCAGGCCTAGAATCACCAGGTCCAGGACTGCTGCTTCTGCAATGAGGATTCTCAAAGATTCAATGCTGGAAGTAGCGAAGAAACCATGAGGTCACGGGCAGAACTCTTCCCTTTTGCCATTTCCCGTGCAACTAGTCGCATGCGAACATTCAAGGGATCTTTCTCAACACAAACCCATCGGCAAGTGATTATACTAATCTGCCATTGCTTGGCAAGACGCTGGGCTTCCTGCTCATGGATTGGTCTGCCAACCTTCTGACTGGTCATGGAATCGATTTCAGTGCGCATCCCTGCATACGCAAGGTCTTTGTCGAGATATTGGCCATTGGCGTCACTGATGACATATCCAGGAAACAAAAGTAAAATTTCTTCCCCACAAAGGTTTGCCTTGCTGCTCTTGGGTTTCACTCCGCGGATCTGATAAACCGATTGCAACATGCCAATGTGACGCTCTTCTAAATACGAAAGCTCAAAGTTATCCAAGGCTGTTACCAAATCTAACTCCATAGCTTCCGTGGCTGTAGGTTCGCCTCCAGCAGCTGCAAATTCACTTAGGTCTACCATTCCGTCAGCAGAGTCGTCTACTTCCATGTCATGGATGATTTCTGGCTCGTCCAATGCCTTTGGAGAACTGGGTGCAAGGCTGGGCGAATATGGAACATCATGTGGATTCTCATCGAGATGTTGACCCCCTTCAACTGGGAGACTTTCTGGTATGGGTTGATTCTTTGGAAGATCAAACGAAACTCGTTTCTCTCTGTTTGCTGGAAAGTCTGGAAACCTCTGCTGGATGGGTTCATCAGCTTCACCCAGGCCTGGCGGTGGCTTCTGCTTGCCACTCAAACGTCGCACCTGGCTGCCATCGGCTGCCAAAACAGGACCCTGAGACATATTGAGATCAGACATGGGATCTGATCGTCTCCTCAACCACTCAATATATCTGTCTATACATTTTTATTGTGCTTCAGTCCGTGGACACTCTGATGGCGCGCACAAACACTACAACCTTTAGTACGTCCATGCTCATGAATCCAGGATGAAGGAACATTCTTGACGTTTGAATATTCCACAGGCTCGATAATCCTAGAGGGCAGAGGTTCAGACATCTTTGCGGAGAGATCTTCAATGGGAACATCAGGCTGCATCCGGTCGAAAAAATGCAAAACAGATGGAGACAAGGAGACGTCCCACTCCAATGGGGAAACAATCTTAAAGCTCTTGCAAACAAAGAAACGTTCTTGCCCTCCAATGACAGTACAAACGACATCCCCCAATGAGTTGAACTCAGGTCGCAAATACGTTGCCTTCTCAAATCGGGAAATGCAATCTTTCTTCAAGCTAGCTGGCACCTCTGCAAGGACAAGACTGCCAAACATGGTTGTTTTCCGGGTCGTCTCCCGACCAAGTGCAAGTGACTTTGGACTTTGTTTTGTATCTAAGTAACATGAAAAATAATTGGAGCAATGACATAAAGATGCCAAAGCGGCATTCACAGCTGTCTGATTCCTGACGCAAACATCACAGCCATTCTCACGCAAGTCTTGCCGAAGAGTGTTGAACGCATCTTTAATGGCTCGGACTCCAGCCTCTGCTCCACCAATGGTCTGGTGACCTTGCGGCGGCGCTTTGACAAATGAAGCTGGCCTGTGGTTGATGGCACCTTTCATGAAACTTGAAACAGCTTCTTCTGCGTCCGTGATAATTTCAATTGGCTCGGAGCATTCTGTGGACATATTGAATTCGCCAAGCCAGGCCTGTATCCATCGGTGCGACAAACGAATGTCCGACTGGACAGGGGCCACGCCTTTCATTCCAGTGGTCAAATCTACCATGATTAGATACTTGAAAGACTCTTTGTTTGCTTTATCCAAGTTCAAGAAGAAAAAATCACATGCCATCTCACTGCTCAACACCGATTTCTTCTTTCTTCTGTGGTGAGTCGTGGACTTGGCTGCTTGGCAAGAAAGGCAATCTGCATGGAATGGAAAATGGCCTTGACGGCGGTGTTGTTCAAGCTTGGATTTATTCAAGTCTCGTTTTCGCAATACAGCTGGATGCTCTGAAGACTCTTCTGAAGGAATGGATGCAAATCCTGTGTTTGTGTCTACAATCATATTGGGCTCATAATCAAAA